TTAAATTCGCTTTTTTCGTGCATGAACGCGGTATTACTCAACGTCAATTCGTGGAAAAAAATATTCAAGTAAAAATGTGTAAATTTAGAATATGATCTACTTGTGTAGCAAATTTAATTTATATTTGTTGAGCCGTGTAGACGCAAAAATATGTGAAGATATGATCTATATCTTTACACATTTTCGCATCTATATGTATATAGATAAACATATAGGTGCAAAAGTCTGCTTCTTCTTTCAATAGCAATTTTTTTTTCAGAAGATTATGATAGTTTTAGATCAGACACAGATATAAAAAATATTGTAATATTATATTTATATTAGCTATTAAAAAACTCAATAAATCTGTAATATCTTAGTCAATTCGTTAAAATGGCCTAACGATCTGACTATAACTTTATCGTACAATAAATCTCGTTAAAATGGCCTAATCATCATACATTAAAAGTAGATAGATAAATGGATAGATGGATATGTAGACAGATATATAGATAAATATATCTAACTATATATCTACTTCTTTAATACTTTTTTATTCTGTGGTTTCATATAAAATTACTAATGAGCATGTACTGCCGCATGGTGTTAAGTCCGCCAAATGTACTGTACTATATATTATATTGTTTGCATTAAAGTTAAATAAAAATAAAAATAAATGTACTCTGTCTCTCGAAATTCGATTTCTATGGCTGCGTGCTTCAGTAGATAAAACTTGACGGAGAGCATATAATATAAACAAATATACAAGTACAATGTAGGTATAGTAGTGTGTAGTGGTGGTATGTGGTGCATAACACACGATTCGAAAATTCCCCAATTTTTAATACATACATATTGATACTTCTTTTTTTATTATATTATTTTTACTGTCACCTTAACCACTAGCGAACTGTTTTTGTCTAAATTATAAAATTGGGTAGATTCACTTTTTTTTTTAATGATTAATAATAAAGCCTGTGCTAACAGAATACTGGAGCAGTATCAGTAGAGGATGAAAAGATGAACTTGAAGTCAGGTCAGGTAACTGACAATGGGAATTCACCAGGAAACAACCACGATAGTTCCTATGGGTGACCGCATGATGGTCAACCTGATATGGCATTGCTAGCAATGGGATAACTAGTTCCTATTACTTATAACCCATATCTATCTTATCTAATATCATATCTATCATATCTATATAAGTTGATATAGATTCAGCGTTAACAGCAGCTTGTTTTAATAGTTCTGTATATGTAGTTTAATTTTCATTCAAATAATTTTGAAGTTATGAGCTCTTTGCCAGGTCACCCTTCAGGTAATCCTCTTTATAATCATCGGGTTTAATTACTAGAGAATCACCTCGATGACTAACTAATCTTATGCCCCTCCAACATAGACCGTATATCAATATATTAATTGTAACTAGTATAAAGTTAAATATATATATATCTCAACATAGTATAAAATGACGTCGGTTCCGCTGTCTGTTCGCTTAGATATATAGATAGTTTAAAAGAAACTACGCTACGGATTTTATTGCAGTTTAATAATAGATAAGAGGAAGGTTTATATGTATAATACATGTACACACGTGTGAAGTCGGGGCGGGTAGCTTGTAACTACATAAAACAGAAATGAAAAGGAAAAATAAAAATGTATTTATAAAACTATACAACCATTTTGGAAACCCAGAAAGATTATTTACATAAACACAAATATATAATGAAGAATATGAATTGTTATCTTCAAATATCTGATCAACCAATGCCGACGTACAGAAAGAGTTTGATGGAGTCTAATTTTAAAATTCATCCGCAATGCGGAGAGACTCTGACGGTATTGTGATTTGGTATACAATGATTATTTTATTGGTACTTCATTTAATCTAACATATATGTTCTTCTAAATTTAGGTACTTAATAATTAAATATTAACATTAACGATAATAATCATCATAATGCGGTTACGGCAAGATTCTGGCATCGTTTACTCTCTAAATTGCCATATTTAGGTATTTATGAATGTAACAAAATAAAGAGATTTAATAATTTACAAGTACTATATTGTAATTTTTCAATATTATAAAGTTACTTCTTAATCCAAAGTAACGTATATACATTTCTAATTAGTCTGAATTTAAATAAAGATCTTAAACCATGTTCCATGCAAACGGTTCATTCATTCATTTTACTATATCTTGATTAGATTTGGCTGACCCCAAGACCCAAAGTGAGCAATATAAAATAAAATTATCTATCAATTCCTATTTCTGATTAACTCTCCGTTAATGAAAATCCAACAGCAAACTAAATTAATTTAAGAGATTGCTGTTCAGAACAACACTACAGACATCAAGTTATTATGTGACGTTTGTGATACTCATCATGACTCGTGCAATACCATTCCAGTAGGATTACGATATGCTTCTTATCCTGTAATTTTACTGTCTAATCTTATCCTAGAACTCAAACACAAGTTACAAAGAAAGCTGCTTGATGATGAAAGTTCGTGAGAATTAATTTAAATTAAAACCTGTTTAACTACTAACTTTATAGTCTACCTCAGGATAAATATTTTAAAAAGTAGTTTTTAGGTTGTTTGTTTTCAGCGACAAGGCCTCCTTCGTTATTATTTTTGAAAATATTTTTTTTAATGTCCACAATAAAGTAAAGAGTTAGTAGTAGTAGTTAGTAAATTAAAAAAAATGTGATGACTATTCAAAAGTGCTTCAGTGTAAATTTATTTAAATAAATGATTTTCTATTCTATTCTAAAAGAGTTATATTATTATATATTAGCTGACAATTAAAATATTAATTTACGGTGAGGTCATTACTAACGATCTAATTATAACTAATTATTTTTCAGAAACCTTATTCAATACAAAATATTCAAACATGTTATTATCATCAATCATATTTATTTCGGTTTCGACCTTCGATGTATCGAAATGACTATTCGATAACTCGTAAATCGACATCGATACGTCCAACCGACTTAAATACAAACATGGGTCTGAATATTTGAGTGGGCGATGTGTACTGAAAATAAAATCGATTGGTTTATATTTATACCTATAATCAACTAGCTGTTACCTAAGACTTTGTCTGCACAACTTTCATCCCTTATTTACAGTCCTTACTTTTTATATAAAAGATAGCCTAGCCTACCCGAACCCGAGATATCTATCCATCTTCGAATCAAATTTCACTAAGATCTTTAGGCTTCGTATTTATAATGTTGTTATTCATACAACAGTTAGTACCTACATGGTCGTCCAAGTAATAAAGATTCATATAAAATTCCATTACGTTTCGTACAACCGTTTAGTCGCAAATACGAGTAAAAATGAGATAGTTACGTATTCGCTATTACAGACTGTTATCCTCGACTTTGTCTGTTTTTTGAGACAAAAAATAGTCGCATCTTCTCATGGTATAATCTATCTTCATTTAAAATTTAATTAAGATCAGTTCAGCAGTTTCCTTTGAGCAGACATACTGTCGCATTTATAATAATTGTATGGATATATTTTTGTATTACAAACTTTTATTGACCTTGATAAATGAGTGTTATATATACAGAACAATTGTTATTTGTTTGTGTTTGTATTTGAGTGTTCTAAATAAGAAGCATATCGTTTTTTTTACATTAAATATGTAGCAGAAATTTGATTTTTACATAGAAAATTCGTCACTGCCTTGCTTTTATTCCACTATTTAGAGTAGGTGTAGTATGTCAAAAAATCTAAATACAAGTACAAACTTACAACATACAAGTACTAAGTACAAGACATCATGTGACCTTTATGTCATATTACAGTATAATTACAAACACTTATGATAAGTCAAGTCTACCGTCAGTACAGAATATACTTTGAACAGTGCCATCTAGTCCCAAGCTAAATAGAGTTTTGTGTTGTGAGTACTAAACTATTAATATAATTACTTACATAACATAGAAACATAGAAATCACGCAAACCGATACAAATATATAAGTATTTGTTGTACTACATTATAAAATCGTGAATACAAATGTGTGCATCCTTTGAGGAAACAAATTTGCAACAATTGTAAAGTAAAGCTGTGTGCTAAACCATCGAAGCTGTCAAAAAATTTAATAAATAACAAACCGAGAAATTCAGAGATATGCTATACATCCGTCCGAAGCCGAGGTGGGTCGCTAGTTCTGATTAAAAAGAATAACTTTTAAGATCAGTTGACCATAAATAAAGAAGTTAATTAGCAAATAACAAATACATTAATTTCTGTCCAAATATAGCCATAATAATTTTAGAGGACAATAAACTAAATAAACTAACTGTAAAGACTATGTAATTAGTATAAAAGTGTAACACGCATTTCAACAGAAATGCGAAAGTAATTTCCTATTCAGACAACAGAAAAGGTCGTGGCTCTTGAAAGGATGAACTTGGGGTTGTTAATGGAAATTTAATTATATTAAGTGTAAACGAGCATGTAACGACTTGCACTCCAGTTACGAATATAAATATCATTCATTGAAATAAGAGACAAGTTAATAGTAATTTTGCTACTAGTAATTTAATTTTAAATGACTGTGTTTATTAACTTTCTTTTATAAAATATAAAATCGAAAAAGTACTAGATTTAATTATAGATATCAGCCTGCTTTAATAGGAAATTATTATATTATATATAATTACATGAAATTTGTTCAGATTCATAGAAAAAATCACTACATTGCTTTAAAGAAAATATATGAATTTTTTTATGGAAACTTTAAAATTAATAGGAATTCGGGAGAGAATATTGTTACAAATAAGTTCTAATTACTTTTAGATTGGGAATAGGCTTATTATTCGATTTTAATCAAAATAAAACTATAAATTCCTATAAAAAACGACTGTTCTATTTTGTTACATAAGTATATACATATATCACTATAAGATTTTATATATAAAATATTATTTCTTTCATGTAAACACAGACACTGTGTTCTGTATCAAAATAATAAAGTTATCTTTTCTATCTTTTCAGAATGGTGTGTCAACGAGATGTCATCTCCGCGAGCGGCCGCAGATAGCTTATGCATCTAATTAAATAAATGTGCAAATAAAAATGACTATAAACTTAAGTGAGTTTAAAAAATGATAATACCAATGTGACATTTACACCACATAGTGCCAAAACAATGTTTTGCTGTAAAGAACTAAAACTATTGTACGCCACTGTTGTTCTTTTACTTGAAGCTGAGTTACTAGTGAATACAGGTGCTATGGAGTCAAAGAGGTCTTCCATATTAGTCGCACAGAATGCAGATGATTTGAAATCATTGGAATTGTGCACGTCCCGGAACCAGCAGCGGTTAGGGAGTGTATTTGGAAATTTTACTAGACATCATAAAAAAGGTAAATTTATATCATTAGTTATAATTAAAATATAGGGATATAAGCAATGAAATTACTGAGTACGGGGGCATAACAAATATCTTCCGAATGGGGCTCTACGGGCGTTACATGGCTCTCTTCATATATGTACATATATAGGTAACGGTTGCCACTTATCATCACGTGCATTGTCAGTTGGTTTGTTATTCCAGTTACATAAAAAATATACTTATTTATAAGTACACCTAACATTGGATGTTGGGCAACTTGAAACCGTTTTCCTTACTGAAATTTGTAAAAATTTGTTAATTTTAATTACTTTTTTCTGTATTCTAGGAATGTAATGAAATTTCGTAGATAATATTATCATGTTAAACATCTCGTTTGTATAATGTGTACAATTAGTAACTTTTCATGAAAAGCCTGAGTCAAAATTTATATTATACTTGTTTAGGGAATGGTATATTATTATTTGTTTATTTATAGGTCATAGAAGAAGAACAACAACAACTACAACTCAAACAACTGTAATGTACACAACAATTGATACTGATGAAGAAACGACTGAACCATACAAATCTACAACAGAAAGTATATTGAACACTGAATCATATCCAAGACTACCGAAACCTTTAAGATTATCATCTTTGGTTTTAGATAAAGATTACAGTGATGATGTACATAATATAGATAATATAATTAAAGAAGAGGTTAATCAACTAATAGATAGAGAAAGATATCATATGAAATATGATAGAAAATATGATAATAAAGAAACATTCAAAGAACTTAATGAAGAATCATTGTCCAAGTCTATGAATAAAGTTAAAAAAATGTACAGAGACTCAACGGCTTTTGCTGTTAATAAAGTAAATGGTAAAGGTTCGAAAAGTGGGATTTTTTTAACTGAAAATTGTACTACAGTTATAGCTCAAATAGGAACGACAGCTATATTACACTGTGAAGTTAGTGATATCACGGAAAATACTGTAAGTATACTTTAACCGCTGTGATAATGAAATCAATGATTAATGCTGAATGAAGAAAATTTATGTATAATTAATAGTTAAATTAAGACAAAGATAGATATGACTTTACTTTTCGATCGTAAATTGATTCATATTGACAATGAGATCGTATAATAAAAAATAATGTTAATGAATAATTATTTATAACATTTCCATACAAAAAATTCATTCATACAATATAATATACATTTTTTATATTTTAATGGAATAATATATAAATGAACATTCAGTTGCTTACAATATTAATGTATATACCAATGAATAAAATACTGCAATGTTTTCAAGTTAAGTACAAGTATATTCACGTATTATTCTCAGTGTCTGGGGATATCAAGTGACAGCTGAATAGATTGATAAAGAAATATTTTTACCTTTAAAAATCTTTACTTTTGTATATGGCATAAAAATCTTATTCTTTTAACAATTATTGATAGGTACTTAATCATAAAATACATTTTCTAAAAAAATCTCGAAAATCCATTGACGTATGATAATTTCAGGTGACGTGGATAAGGAAGAAAGATTATTCCTTACTCTCAGTGGGACTTGTGACATACAGCGCCGATAGCAGATTCTTTTCAGCCCATGGGAGGCATGTCAAGGTGAGTCGGGCATTGACAAGCTTTTATGTGTATTTATATACCCTGTGGAATGAATTATTTTCTCTTGTTGCTTACTGAAATAACGAATGTAAATTGGAGAGTCTAATTTCTAAGAGTTTAATTTTCGGTAAGAAAACATGGGAGAATGTAATGAATTTGTGTGCAAGTAATTATACGCAAATATTACATTGTTTATATTTTTGCATAGCTATTTTTGTATTTATTACTGGAAGCGTTACCTGAAATATAAGGTGATGATGTAATTCAAATGCTTATTAGAGCTAATTATATTATCATAATTATAGTATCATATTTATTTTAAATAACAAATTAGCGAAACTGCAAGGATAGCTCTTTCTATATCTCGTTGAGCGGCTTTGAGTTGATGGAACAATCGTTAGTTAGTGAATGTGTTTACTTGTCATAAACTCTTAAAATATATGATAGGTAGCCTTTGTTAAAAATATAATCAGGTATAATTTATATATGCTTGTTACACACTCAAAATAATGTTAATAGATTTTTATTCTTCGATCTAGATACAGTTACAAACTATAAAATCGATGTATATCTATGGTTGTATTCCACACAAGTAGCGTCGCATACCACGGCTAGTTTTAGTGAAAACACGATGTTACTAACGTACTTCATACTTTTAGTACAGACTCGTTTGAACTCGTAAATTGCACTCATAGTATACTAACAAGTTAGTATACAACTTTACAAGCGCTGGGTGCTTTATTCCAATATGCAGAAACAGCTTTATTACAGATGCATGATCAAATAACGCTGAGTTTATTTATCTTCTTAATTCACTACCATTTAATAAGACTTTAACTTGAATTTAACGATAGGTTTATCCAATACATAATGTATTTTTTGTTGATATACGGTTTTCTCGTCCATATATGGAAGTAAAACGACGACGTCTGTTTGTGTTGCGTGATTTATTAGCACCAATCTGTGTAATAATGTCAGTGTACGTTAATCATACGGAAACGCGTAGTAAGATACTTATATACATATAAATAAAGTAAATATCTGCATATCTATAAATAACTTTATTTTAAAATATAAAGTATAATGTAATAATAATGTAGATTTCGGTTTCTAAACCAGTAATTTTGTAAAAATATATCCACGTAGATACTTCCCATTTTTGTCGCTAAACAGTTTTCTTAAGCATAGTGTAATCCAGTCTTTGTAAAAATTTATCTACGTGGATACGTGGAACCTCACGTTTCGCTAAACAGATTGTTTTGTAATCTTGTAATAATGCATGAAGGAGGCCTTATCTCTTGCTTCTCCAAGAAAAAAAATGAATATTTTGAATATTTTTAATTTTTAATAAACTTGTTTTCGACATTCTTCTTAGTTGAGAACTCTATGAAAATGATCCTCCAAAGTTAAGTAACAACTTCAAACACTGAATCAAAATGCTATAGCTTTGAAGTTGAAAGTAAAAGACTTGAAATGCCTTTGTTAGAAGTTCCAAAGCCGAAAGACAGAAGCTGATGCTTAGAACTTGTTATGTTTGGGTGCTATAGAGTGTATCGATTAGGATAGTTTGAAGTGGTAATAATTATTAACATATAGGGATTATATAATTTTCATTACAAAATAATTATTTATGTACTAATACTATATACTGAAAATATTTTTTATGTTTCTTTTTTGTTGGATATAGTCAAAAATATTAGATAGCCATAAAAAAAATTCACCTATAGATTGTGACGAAACGAGTCATTGATAAAAACTAAGTTTTATTACATATTAACCATAATATGACATTATTATGATTGTAAAATCACAATATTAACATTTCAAATTAATAATAGTTAGAAATAACAACATTGAACAGTTAAATAGCTGAAATATAGTAGCCAACGAGTTTAGATCAATTTTTATAAGAACATTATTTAGATACTATTAATGTAATCACAATAAAATTGAAATTGTTTTATTTGCTATGTTTGTTGCTAAATAAGGTTCAAAGTATGGGAATCGAATTTCAAAATTTACCGGCCCTCTCCAAGATATCTGGGTATCTTTGTCGCCAAGTTCTGGTAAATTGGTAAATAGGTCGCTTTTTAAGCTGTATTGTTAAAGATTGAGTTATAGCAGTAAAATTATAGGTCACGTATGCATAACAACTTAGTTCTCAGGAATAACAATATAGGAATAATAACATATGCACATAAAGACGTGATGTCCTCATCCTTTTCATATAAAATGGCAACATTTGTCAATTTTAATTGCCATTCCAGTTACGTAAAAAATAATCAATTAATTGATCAAATTTATCGTTCTTTTCTGCCACAGGACTGGGCTCTGCACATAAGGTTCGCAACATCAGCGGATGCCGGATATTATGAATGTCAAGTCCCTACACATCCACCAACAAGTATTTTCTTTAAACTTGTACTTGTTGGTAAGTAATTTAATTTAATAACAATTTATATTAGATTTCAAGATCTTTTTTATACCTTTTGTAGATTACTTAATACTCTTTGTATATTTGTAGTTATTATAACTATGTACGAGAATTTAATGAACTTAATATATTATTATCTTTCTCTATAATTATTCCGACTTCATCTGGATATCTTCTTCAGGGTGAGAGCGACGTATTCATCCCAACGTCTTATCTTGACTGACGTACTGACGCCCGTTAATAGTTATAAAATATTATTACAAAAATTAATATGGGTATTAAAAATAATATAGCGAATAAAATGTATATAGAGCTAAAGAGATATTATTATAAATGTATAAATTTATATGTATTAACAACATTTAAACGTTTACTTTGATTGAAATACAACTTTTATTGAAAGTGCTACAATATTATTTTATGTAGGAAGAAAAACTAATCAGTTACTATATATATAATTTATATATACTTAAATATTGTAATTTTGTAAATGTATATCAAGACATATTCTATAATGTTACACAAATTTAATTTTTTTTACACAATTAATAGATAACATATTTGTTTAACAGCGGCGTACGCAGAAATAGTTGGAGAATCAGAAAAGATAATACACGAAGGCTCAATGTTGAGGCTAGTGTGCATAGTGAAGAGGTCTACGGAACCACCTTCATATGTTTTCTGGTACTTCGAGAACAGGATGATCAACTACGACTTAAGTAAGTCTTACCTCTCACTTGTTTTAAATATTTCAATATCATCTGATTGATTTCTAAATTAGACTAGTATAGAATGACACTGGTTTTCTTCAAGCAAGCTGATCTAGAATAGAATAGAAAAGAATAGAAAATCATTTATTCAAATAAACTTACATTGAAGTACTTTTGAATAGTCATTACATTTTTTTAATCTACCGCTCATTCGGAAAGCTGTCTCATCACAAGAAGAACGAGCAAGAAACTTGCGTGTTGGTCTTTTAAATAATTTTATTATTATTTTACATTTTTAAGTTTAAGTGTACCCAACCACCAATTAGCACTAATTCATATTCATAGTTATTAAAAATAAAAAATGCTATATAATCGAAATATACTATTTTGCGATAATATATTATGGGAATAGGATGCGGATATTATTTATTTATATGTATACTGTTTGAAATTCGACACGGTCATTATTTATACCTTCAGAGGTTCCGCTAGAATAGTGTGCATTATTTTTACAAAGTTGTAATTTATAAATTATATCATCTTATTTCCTGTAAATAATGCAGTAAAAACCATTGTATTTTACTTATTAACATCTGCAAATGATATTTACATTTCAACCATTCTAAATGCGCTACGTGTACTCATATAATGAGCGTACGGAGATGCAACTTCGTGAAATTCACGACATTCTCGCTGATACACAATAGACTGTTGTGATGCCATGGCGCTATTGTGTCAACTTGAGACAACAGTTTTATTATGGCCTATTCATTATATCTACAAACCTATTTTGTAGTTAACTGAAATAACAAGCTAAAGTTTTCTAATGACAAATGGATGCCTTTTTTAATGGATGTAACGGACTTTAATGCAGTTTTTAGCAATAGATAGAGTGATTGAAGAGGAAGGTTAGTAGTTAGTTTTCATAATATGAGAGCGTAGAACAAGCCGAGAAATTCAAAGATTTGTAATGTATCCGTGCGAAAGGGTCGCTAGTATTTTATAAAGAGATTTTGAAATAGTTCAAGTAAGTAAAAAAGTTATTAGTAGTGGAAATAATATAATAATAATAATGAATAACCCTGAACAATTTACACAACGCATACTAGTTCCACGTTAAGCAGAGCTTATGTTATGGGTACTAGATGACTGATATAAATAGTTATGTATATATATAACGACTAAACCGATACAAACTATCATATGTTACTGAATATAAATATTTGTACCGTGCGAGGAATCAAACCCGCGACAATCGGAAATAAAGCGTTGTGTTAAACCACTAGACCACCGAGACCGTGTATTGGCAACAATATATATATATATATATATTAATTTAAAACAACTGTGTAGGTCAACCTGACTTGGTACATGGATACTACATTTCTCATACTTTATTTATATACTGAATAGTAATGTTGTCATGTGACGCTCTTGGTATTCCTGACTATCTCATTCCTGAGGATTAACACGTTCACGACGCGGCCCATTTTCCCTTGCGACCATCGGAAATAAGCTTTTGTTGTGTTAAAGCATAATAAAAACACTACACCAACTATTGCTGTATCGATTAATAATTGGCAACAAAATAATAAATAGTTACTTAATAATGGGCATAAATAATGTAAACGAAATAAATGATAAGTGGGTAGAACTTAAAAAAGTGTGATATTTTATTTTCGTCCATCAGTAGTGTAGTGTAAAGACAGCAGTAAATTCACAAGTATAATTGAATTTATCAATAAATATAAAATAGTTTATATGATGATTTCTAAGTAATAAGGCAATTAGGTTCATATTTGTGTATTCCAGTGTGGTCTACGGTAACATTCACCGATAAGAGAACAATAGCGCACTTGGTACATGGCTAGTGATAGAATGATTATTATTAACAAATAATATTTGATTGTGAAAAAATTTTCTATACTTATAAACATTGTAATTTCTTTAAATGCGATTAATCTTTATATTATATACAACAGGTTAATTACTTGTTTAAATCCCATTGCTAATAATGTACATGTGATTTGTCATTTTTGGTATTTTTCCTGACTATCTCATTCTCTTTCGAGGCATTAACACGTTCACGACTAAGATGGTCGTTCCATTACGTTCCGACGTTCCACAGAATCCGATGTCCAATGCTGTGAGCGCGGTGCTATAAACTCCTCCATTATATATGATGCGAAACTTACTATTATGGATTTATTTTTAGAACCATAGGCGCGCGATATATAGTTTATTTTTTAGGAAAACTATAGTTCTTTTCTAATAGCATCAATTTTTATCTTATTATTTGCCTTATTGATTATTTTAATTTTTATTGCAAAGCTGTTTAATTTTTAACATCTCTATTTCTATATCTCGTTGCTCTGTTGACTGCATCGGAACTATTTTGGGCCATCAGTGGGCCGCATCGCCCTATGAGACAGTCTAGTGCAGATCACCGGTGGCCCGTGCTAGGGTGAATGTGTAAAGGTTTAGTTTATAAAATTTTAATAGCAATAATTTTATTTTCCTAGTCATAGAACTTTCTATAACTAGGAAAATTAAATGCCACTTGGCAATAGAGCTATATACATGAGCACCACCATGGTTATGATATAATACAGGAAGACGTGTTACAGTATTGCTTATTTCTTATTACTATTTGTTTCGACCTTCTTCCATTCATACTTTATATTTTTTACCATCCTAACCGTCAAACCGGAAGATAGATTTCAAAACAATCTGCTAGCGACAGAATTAGGTGAGTCACAGGTACTTCCGCAAACGTCTTTGTACAAAGTATACCTCTGATCTCTTTATTGCTTATTATGATATACAAAGAGCAAAAATTTATATTTTCTCATTTTTTGGTCGTTCATTAATAAGTCAGTTTAACTTCGTTTTACAAATTAATCTACTGAAATATTATATTATTAATGTACTTAATAGGATCTCAATAATCTGTACTAAATGCGAAAATTTAAAAATAACTAGAAACAAGATACCTTTTATTTAACATTTTCTTATATTCTTAGAATATAGATATCTGAAATAGAATTGTTTAATAAAAGCAACAAAATATGACGAGCTCTTATTTTATTAATATAATAATATCAGTTTACATTGACAGCCTCGGTGGTCTAGCGGTTTAGCACACTGCCTACCTTCCAATGGTCACAAGTTTGAATTCCCGCATGGTACAAACTTTGTATTCATTATATCAGTCCGGTGTTTTTGCTATGTATATGTATATATATCGATTGTACAGCATCCATAATACAAGCACTGCTTTTAGCTTGGGACTAGAGTGCGCTGACCGAATTGGCAAGAAATATATTATTATTATTACTATTATTTGTTTCGCAGAACTTCCACTAATGAAAATGAGATTGTGAATAATGTTTATTAATGACACACCCATTGCTAGTAATATACTATGTCAGGTTGACCTCCACGCAGTCGCTCCTGGAAACGATCATGATAAGCTTCTGATGAATATGACATGATGTGTTAACTGGTCTGAAGTCTGAACTCACACTCACACTTATCTTATCATCCACCACTGGTAAACCATTTGCGCAGGATGATGCCATTATCATCCATTAAAAAAAATTACACATTTATTACTATGAATCAATAGTATTTACTCTTTTCCTCTTTCTCTCTTCCTACCTATGTATCCCATATGGTGGTGGAGTCAGCTTTCCTTGTTTTTTTTTTCGCTACTTTACCCTGTCACGGCCATCGACCTTAGAGACCGCGCACTCCATCATGTCTCTAACAATTACATCCTCCCACCCCTTCCTTAGCCCGTTAAGTTTATTCAATGAAAGATCTATAACTATTTCTAATATACATTAGCGGTCTAAATGAGATTCAGTTGTAAACGCTCAAATATCGCCATATAACTACTTTTACATCTATATTATTAGTAAGTTAACACTATGTCCCTAATACATTCACCCCTCGAAACAATGCCCGCATTTAATACCCTTTGGCTCACTGAACTAAACAATTAAATCATTCAACTAAGCTGGGAGCGTTTCATACAAAGTAACCAACACATAGGTGCAGAACGGTTATATATATATATATATATATTATTAACATATTGTTAACATATACTTCATTTGAAACGGGATCTTCATCGACAGTGTCACCAGTTACACTCGTGAATGGGTCTGCTTGTACAGACTGGTCTGCTCTGATAACTAAGTTTGTTACTGGTATGTTGTTTACACACTAAGTCACATGTTAAGCGGAGAGAGTTTATTTTTAAAAACTCAATCATGACCGATCAGATTTCTTTTTCATAGTAAACGATAGAGGGCCGTAGGTCGAGCGTCATTGAAATTTTAATCTCGATCAGTCAAGCCGTTTCGGGGAGTATCGTTACAAAGAGTGCAAATCTGACCTCTAAGATCCATCTGCTCTTCGCGCTCCGCGCAACTATAACTGATTGATTTTGTAACTCAAGATATTATGTTTATTTACCTTTGTAAATCTTGTTAGTAGCTGGTAGTGTTTATTACCACAAAATTTTAAATATGTAATGTTAAACAACATTACTGATTAAATTTTTTTTAATTTATTGTCGTGTGCCCTAACAGGGTCCATAATGATCTAAAACGAATTATGAACATCTTTCATTGTTATATTATGTAATGTAATAAATATTGAGTATTGAGTATATTTATTTATAAGAGTTACATGCAAGTTTCTTTCTCGTTATTTTTGTGTTAAGTTTTCATTACTAATGAGCGGTATACTCAAAGTATATGACTATATAAAGGTGCTTATAGTATATTTGAATAAAGATTATTTTAATATTAATTTCTATTTATAGTCATAACATATAAGATATATATGTAACATTGAACGTAAAAGTTATGACTGACTTCCGTTTGAACTTGACTTTAATATTCCGTTTTTTAGACATTGTATAAATCAGTACTAGTCGTATTGCTCGCGAAATCGTGCTTTGGTAGAAGCCTTGATGTCTTGATTGATGATAATGGAACAATGACCATAAATAAAGCAACTATACGACTCCATCAACTATTTTAATATAAATTAATTCTGCTGTATTGAAGTATAGAGTATATATTGAAGTATAAAGAAGACTGTATACATTCTTAAAATGAAATTAATTACTAAGAATAATAGTAAGGGTTACTATTTACTCAGCTATCTTTAACCTATATGTTGAACCATGAAATATTCTTTGTAATCCCTATAGTCGTTTTTACGTAATAACTAAATACATAAGTAGATAAACAGAGGACTTTATATACATATAAAGATTATAATAAAGATAAATATGAAGATATCTTTCTATTGTATTTCATCGTAAGAATCTTAGAGATAAGAGATTTAAATAAGAGCGATCTATATAATATAATGATTATATAAGTCTTTGTTTGTGGCTATAATTTTAGCGAAGCGCCTTTGTACTATATGTTTTGGCACCCAATTCGTCGAGTCAACCTTTAGAATTCTAACAAATTGATAAATGAGAGCTAGTGCGACTTAACTCTACAAGTTATCGATCAAAAGCGCAACCCGATAACAGTATAGAGTTATTGCAACAAGCTAAGCCGAAGTTAGGTGGGCAAACTTGGTGCATTTAGAGACAATGCGTTATCTCAAAGCGATAGACTCGACCGATCGAGTTCTAAGTATTGTTGTGGATGCTTAGACGAGAAGCGTATTAACTGATAGATTCGTTTATGACTTAACAACGAACTATTGTATTAAATTTAACTAAATCGATAATCTAGCGGTTTAACTTATGTTAAAGAAAGTAAAGCTTTGTAGCTTTACTTTCTATTGTCACGGATTTGGTTTCTTGCATTATATACACATTTGTATTCATAAAGATGTATGTTTATATCAATCTGAGTGTTGACACTGTACACACAATTATGTGTGTTCTTACAAAACATATATTTCTTTTTATTGCCTTAAAAAGTTAACTGTTTTATAATAATGCTTATAAATAGGTTAAATAAGACATTACATATTCTTATACTATTGATACGTATATAAATCTACAATACTTACAATACAATTATTATTTATAGTCTTTGACAATAGAATCTCCTTAGAATTTTAATAATTAATGATGGAATGTCAATCACTCGCGACCATAATTAATGATAACATTATTTGCGTTCAGATGGAGTCAACGTCCACAATGGACGGCAGACAAGCGAACTGGTCATCGGGAAAGCAGAACCGAAGCATGCTGGTAACTACACCTGCGTGCCGGCAAATGCTAAAGCTGCTTCAGTTACCGTTCACGTTGTACAAAGTGAGTATTATTTCTACAAGTTATACGAGTTAATGATACTTCATAATTTTTCAGAGCAGTTCACAGATCTAATTTGAGAGTCAGTGGTCTAGTCGGTTACTAAATCGCCTTATTTCCGATGGTTGCGGGTTCCTCGCACGATGCAGACATTTTTAATCATATGTATGCTTGTGTTAGTCGGGTGATTAAGATGTAATGCTTAGTATTCTGTAATTTCATTGGCTAATCACACCCTATATATGAAACATACTTACAAAACACACTGCTTGGCGGCTGAAATAGGTAAAACTGAGGTAAAACCCACGCACAGACGACCTTTTTAAGTAACAAAAAGTTGTATAGTAAATTGCTATAGTACTCTGTCCATTGCAGGTTGGTAGGCCTTTGTAAATTAGTTTTAGTTGATCAAACAGGGCTAAGAAAATTAAGAGCAAGCACAATATAAACTTGATATTATCTACTTAAAGCTATCGAAGTATGACATCAAAGTTCATTTTCTCGTATTAATAACACTTCAGTGAACTCTTACAAAAACCAAAGATCAAAGAATGCAGCTGGATCTGGGATCAATAATAAAACTAATAATTAAAATTTTCTTTTCAAACTTTTTACAATACATAATGATGAGTAGTTTTGCCTTGCCAATAAATTCACTATATATACAACTCCACATAAAATGAACTCCGCTTAAAACAATAGTTTTAATTTTTGCATTTTGTTTTATGTAACTGCAGTGTGAAACGTAGTGATGGTCTATCTGATGAAAAATTACAATCGTCATATATGTCATACACGCAATATTTTATAGACTACTTTATTCAAGTCCTTTTTTTGTGAAGAGTTCATTTAGAAGTTTTAACATGACCATTACTCTATGGTTTCTGTATTTTTGTGTCACTAAACTAGCAATTAAATTGATGGGCCACTTTATGATTAATGGGAAAACACACCACAGAGATATACCAACATCAAATGTTGTTTGTGATACTTCTCATGTGTTGCCAATTTAGAGGATAAAAATCCCATGTCGCTGTACCATGTAATTTCACTGCCATATCTGATTCTCGAAATCAACCAATTGAAATAGATAATACTGTGATACCCACGCAAAGTCGTCTACTTTGCTCAAAGTTGTACTTTGGTAGAATTCCTTTGTTAAAACTATTCTACAATTCCTAATTATGAATAGTTTTAGTAAACTTGCCTATAAATTAATTGAATATACAACTATTCACAACAATATACTCGGTTGTTTTTGATGATATAACACATCAATAGACTACTCGGAACGTAACAGCCCCTTGCCAATCTACTTTACGGATTTCGGTCAATGAACTATTATGGGATTTAGGGTATTATCGTGAGTGTGTTTCCACTCTCCTCCTGATGTACAGTCACCTTTATAAACCTATATACATAAATCATAGAATTAAGAATAGTGAATTTGAGGCAAGGCGTCTCTCCTGGGCGTTGTATGTCAAATCTACCGTCAGTTAGGAAAGTATTATAGTTTCGAGCCTAGAGAAATTAACACGACGCTCTGCCTTTACTCTTTTCAAATAAGATTATACGTTTTTACAATAATAATATTATGATAGAATCACACTTACTTGACATTTATTATATTTCACCCTATTTACATAATATCTTTTAAATTAGCCTATGTATTATTCTGATGTGTAAGGTTATTAAACATTACTGTAAAATTTCATCAAAATCCGTTCATAGTTTTTGCGTGAAAGAATAATAAATATTCATCCATCCATATTCACAAACTTTTGTGTTTGTAATATTTGTAAGATTAATAAGAAGCGTATATAAAATTAAAGTACAATGAAGTAATTAAATCACCTGGCACGACTTGATCATTGCTAAACGGGAATACCATGTAAATATATATAACTCAAAGGTCTGATTGACATAGTGATCTATCAATGCACAGCCCAAACCACTGGACGGATCGGGCTGAAATTTGGCATACAGGTAGATGTTATGACGTAGGCATTCGCTAAGAAAGGATTTTGATTAATTCTACCTCCAAGGGGATAAAATAGAGGATGAAAGTTTATATGAAAATTGTCAATTTTAAATCGATCGGGCTGAGACTTTGCATGTATAATGTGTGATAAAATGACAAAATGTTTTTTAAGTAATAAATATTCATTTCATTTCATTTCATAAAGCTACTATGTACTATGTAGGCATCCCCTAAGAAAGCATTTTGATAAATTCCACCACTAAGGGGATAAATTAAAGCGAGCGAAGCCGCGGGCAAAAGCTAATTAAATAATAATTGCGTAATTTGGTAGATATATGCGATTCGAACTTTCGTGAATGTTTCTAGTAAATAAAATACAACCACTTCGCTATATTGCCTAGGTCGTCAAGATACGAACATAATTACTGTCAATTTGTGCGAAATTACACACCTGCCGCCAATTTATAATTCACAAGTGGTCGGTGATTTCAGACTAAGTAACTGTCATTAAATTTTGATGGCGTCACGGCCGAAGTTGCTAAGAGATCAGCATAGATTAGCAAAGTTTGGTGTTTTGTTAACGGTACACTATTTCTTTTTAGAACCGTCAAATGTAATATGATCCGTTTAGATTAGTGAAAAGCTGTTGCTTCTCAAGAATTATTTGAAGAGCTGTTGTTTATTTTTAATAGGTATATTCATTTAGGAGTTTTGAATAGTGATAAATGACTTCAAGATAAATTTATGTAAATTCGCCAATAAAAATGTATACGGGTATACGTATATGTAATCTCCAGATAGATAGATAGATAGATGAAATATATCGACGATAATTATTAAATTATATAACTTTGAAATAAAATCTATCAAAAAACTTCATATATTAATTAAATTTATTATCTGTGCTTCTAACATTATTCTCCAAAATTAGAATACTAAATTATTATCAAATTAATTAAATTATTATGGATTACCAGAAACATATAATACTAGCTGTGCCTGCGGTTTTATCCATATGAAATTTATGTATGTTTTGGTATATTTTTATACATTTGTATAATTATGTATGTATGTATGATGATGAATAAGCTACATTACACTAAAGTTTCATCACCAAGTAATCCATCCATCCATCTATCCTCATAAGCTTTCACGTTAATATTATTAGTAAGATTTAACAAATTTAAAGTAACTAGTAATTAGTACACGTGATTTTCTCTGGAATAGCAATACTTATCAAGGTATCAATGTTATCACCGCGGATATCACGTTAACACAGGATATATAGGTACATATTTTAGCCGTAAGTTTATTCATCATTCCAGTCCCATAAAATAGACAAAAAAACTACAATCGACTAGAATGTCATTAATTACATTTCAGTTTTATATAAAGTTATAGGTGCAGGCGCTAATTAATTTAGATGTAAGTAATTGAGTTTACTGACTTTATAACTATGTTATTTCATTTCGACTTAAGTAAACTGAAGTCCAGATGAAAGGACTTTTTGTTTACAAAAGGTTCATCGAGAGCTCGGTCAGAATAGAAAGGGCGAGCACCCTTCGGTGCTTTTGTCTAAAATTAATTAGAGAGGCGTCTGGACGTCCATGTATTATGATTGCACCTAAAAATTAAGAAGTCTAGTATATTTCTTTTAATTAACAAAAATGACCGAGAACTTATTGGACAGATGTTATTATTTCAAACGTTTGGGAGTAGGGGATAGGGGATTGTTAATAATGAGGATATAGCCCCATATAAATACATGAATGCTAGCAATTTAGTTAAGTGTAAGTTAAGTGTAAAGTCAGTCCTCGTACCGACTGCATATCAAATGTACGCGTTACTGATAAGCCACATGGCTTATTTGAAACTTACTAATTTACAGTCTATAATACAATTATTTCACCGGTATACTCACTACCTACAGACTACAATAAATAAATATAACATGTAGCGATACCCTATCAGATCGTACAGAATATTACAGTGATAAGGTTATTACCACTGCGCTACAAATCTATGATATTATTTAAATTTATTTTATACATTTTCATCAACATTATAGTCAATTGTAAACCTATTTTTCAGAATTGACGCACTTAATGTAATAATAACAATAATGTATCGCAGAGTAATATCGCACAATGTTAAGCTGATTATGAAGCCAGAGCACTTCTTAATAGATAGGAATTTGGGGATAAAACCACGATTTCTCGAAAGAAATTACTTACTTGTTTGGTAGGGTTTCTAATTAAGTAGACACAATATTTTCATGCGGAAGATATGATATCACATTGATGAACTTCCTAACGTACAGAAATTTAAGATTAATACTAAAATTTATAGAATTTGTGGATAAAACTATTTCCTCGAATTGAATTAAACTAGTAGTAGTAGTAACTAGTAATTGAATTAAATACTAAGGTATTTGGTAGGGTTTCTAGATAAGTAGTCATAGTATTTACATGTGGGAGATATAATTCCACGTTGATAAACATAACATATAGAAATTTAGGAATAAAACTTTAATTTATATAACTAATTAATTATACTACATAACTTCTTAAAACTTATTAATTTCTAGTAGGAATATATTTTCTTAAATCGTTTATGATAACAACTTTCAGCTACATTTTTTTTTTATATTCTATTAGGCCAATCATAAGTCAATAAAGCTAGTATTGTGCTTACCTTTTAATGCTCGGCATACACGAATACGACATTCGCAAAATTTAATGGCGCTGACCTGGTTCGTAGTTTGAAAGCGCTCATGTAAACAGTACTTAATAGCTCGCGATAGAAGCTTACGGTTTCACAAGGAATCAACTATGTAAATTTACTTTATTGTAATGCTTGAATGAGTCGCTATAAATTTGTCGCTTCTCATATTATTGACATGAAGTTCTTTCGCTGATTTAGGCCGGAATAGTAGAAAAATCTTGATTTTCCGAACCCGAAAGTTACTTAATTCATACAATTTTTAAAAAGAGCATATATGGTTTTCTGATATTTTTAATTAATTAGATAATACATAAATATTGTAATACCAGGATTTAATACATACAATTCAAAATAAAGAATATCATTCCATATCTATACCATCTGGATATATGGGAAGTCTCCATCATACATTTATTATAAAAACTTTTTGCCTCGCGAACCCATTCTATTAAATCGATTCGTGGTATGATTTTTATGGATAATAGTGGTACTCACTACTGCGCTTACGATATATGTACACTGTGATCTTTTAAAATTATATTATGATATAAGAGCGATATGATGGTTATAACTATAACACGCGAGGTGGAATTTCAGCCCGAGTCGAAGGCGAAGGCATAATAGAGCCAATACACGTTACAAGTTAAATAAACACGTATGGCGTACGACGTATTTCAACACACTTTATTTTAAATAAAATCAGCCATAAAACTCTTATGCACACTGCTGCTCTCCCTCCGTTTTACTTTTTTAAATTACCGCGCTGCCTACTTGCTTGCGCCGCGCGCCGGTCAGTTAGAAATTTGATAAAAAAAACTTTAAAAACAATGTAATCCATTACTTTCCAATACTTATGAATGAATTTGTTATCTGTACATTGACGATACTCCCGATGACTTCACATGCCATTAAACTCAGACGAATTGTCCGTGTAGTGTACTGGAATCACTATTGTCACATAAGCTCTCGAGTTTCAAATTGCGTCCTCCGGTACGAAGTTAGTTTGTAACACCGTTGTTGGGGCGGAATTGCTTTGTTAAACTACGCTCTAAGTCGCCACCAACAAGATAGCAAATCCGTGAAGTATTTACCTGATAATTTTAATATATTAAAGTATACGGTTAATTATTTTATACCAGTTTTGTACACATCATCATCATTCATGTCCACTAAGAAATAAATTATAAATATCCATGTACAATGAGTTTGTGTGAGCAAATCCATAATAAACAATGGTGTGGGTGTTTTTTATGTACCTACAGGTATAGGTATATATTTTTTAATAATGGTAATGGAATGGTGCACCCGCCTGCGCTAACGGTTTATGCTGGCGGGGCATCATTGAAGGATGATAAAATGAACATGAGGTCAGGTCAGTTAGCCCATGATAGCAAATTACCAGGAATTTATCTCCGTGTTTTCCACAGGGAACCGCGTGGAGGTCAACTGAATATAGTAATATTAGATAGTAATATAATGTATTAAAGAATTTCTATCATTGTTTAGTACCGATAAATAAAACACAACCTCTGCTTGACTTGGGACTACATAGCTCTGTGTAAATTGTCCTTTGTTATTCTATATATATATCATTATTCTTATTATTACTTATTTATTGGTCGCCTTTATTCTATTATTATTTGTTTATAAAAAATATGAAGTCCCTCATCGGGACAAAAACTTATGTTTTAATAAGAAACAAATTACAAAATGGTTGAAATATCATAAAAATTGATTGAATAGTATAACAATAATCCAGGTAAACATGTACACACAGGCCTTTCTACCACCAAACTCATCATAGTTTATACTATGGGTACTAAGCAACTGCAAGAAATACTTAGTATTATTTTTTAGTATTAGATTGTAATATATTGTAACTATAAAGTACTGTAAAACACCTAAAGCTCATAATTGTACATTTTATCCTGGACAAACATCATGACATGAGTATTTTTTTTTTGTATAGATTATATAAAATTATTGTACAGACAAAGTATGCAGTACTTTTATTGATTATATATTGTAGTAATACAGTATATTACTGAAGTTTTATCAATAAAAACATTATTCTGAAAATATAACGGACTGCCATCTTAATTAGGTATTAACTTATTTCAACAGTAAAGCAGGATAATTAGATCATCAAGCTATCAGATAACGGACTCTGTAACTGAAGAATTAATACAATAATTATCACCCCTATTGCACAGAAAATAAGTCGTATTCTCGTTTCAACAAATGAGTGATGGTCCTAAACTAATTTAGTCTCGCCTTTGTTTTTGTTATTACAATAATTCAGTAAAGAAACAAGGCACATTTTATTATAACGCCCGAGGGTCGAGTAAATTTTATTTACAAAGTAATTTGTTCCTCGATTTACGTAATTAAATTGTTTGAATTAAGTGACCTAGGTTATTTCTATGATTAATGAGAAGAGAGCCGGGGTAAGTTTACGAGTAATATTATTAGAATAGGGACATTTATTATTAAACTTAACTATAATAGAGATAATATTTTTGCTGTAAATTAGGCAGTAATAATATCCATAAAAAATTATAGATAAAGTATTTATCTGCTGATTCTACATTTATGTTATTGTATGCAGATATAACATATTATATTACGTCGATAATTTTTATTATATTACGATGTATCATTTGTATTGAAACTTCTTAGATGAACTTCTTATGGAATTAATTAAATAAATAATTCACAAATCCAGGACAAATATACCTACCTCAGAATTCAGGGACTTCTTAAGTATTTGTATTTGTAAAAAAAAAATTTTTAGACAATAAAGATAAGAAAGATAAGAATATTACAAACAGACACTCCAATTTTATTTATATGTATAGATGTATAGATTAGCTTATCAAAGATATTTGTTTTTTTTTTACATAAAAAGTATTTATGTTCTAGTTTCAAAAATGTCAATTTTCAATACAAACTTTGATTTAACACAATACTTAGATTATATATGATTTAAATACTTAGATATATATATTTTAAAGAATACAATTGTTTACATCGTGCGAGGAATCGAAGTTCTTTTTTTTTTAGATTGATATTGACTCTTTCTTTTTGAGACTATCTCAAATCAATTAAGAAGGTCTACATTGAAAATTATTGTATCTTCTTTTTTTAACTCCACGTAAATAATATGTTACTAAACTTATTAGGTAAATTTTATTGTATTCAATTTAAGCATTAAGTTAATTATTATTCGGAAATTTTAAACATATTACATCCCCCTGACATCTAGGCCCTGCTAATTGCGCGCCCCCTTCGTTAGAAAGTTCTGGTCTGAATAATTCACATATAATCAATAATTTATCTTCAGTAAATATTAAACTGGAAGCTTCAGATGAGAATAAATAGTATTTTATTAGCCTAGTCAAGGTCATAAATATTAAAATAAACTATAATCAATACAGATAAAATTTATTCTAATATTTTTACCAACCGGACCTACACTACTTCAAACTAATAAGAGAGAAAAATCTCTCTCGAAAGGAACAAACTTTCGCCCTTTTGCAAATGTTTGCACAGCACAGGTGGACAATATGGTGAGGACCTTGGCCATAAACAATAAATGAGCTATAGAATACTAAAAGAATTTTTCGAATTCAAACCCTTCTAAGATACTTAATACTTCATGTAATTAGTATAAAAATTAATACTTCACAATACTAAGTATAACTATTGTGATGTTCATTTATTATTTACTTAATATTTCCGGATCGACGGTAAAAAAGTTTCGTGACTTGTGTTATTAAGTCCACTGCCACGCCTCGGACGGCGAGAATTTCAGCCTGACTTACATCAAGCATTTGTCTTGATTTGATATTAGCGATTTATGTTTTACTAACTTTAAAAAAGGTAGTTTCTTTCTATTTTTTTTAATTGTATTCCGAATCATTTGTATACTTATTCCAAAGAATTGATCTAGTATTAAGTTTTTAGTTTTAATTTTTTTAATTGCGTGTATACAATAAAAACAAACTAACGTACTAAATAAATGAAATAGATTTTAAAAAGTGGTCTGCTCTAATCACTATGATTGATTTAATCTTATTGCTTTTTTAATAATTAAAAATGTAAAGTTTCAACAATTATTGAAAAGAGCATCACACAAATTTCTTGCTTGTTCTTTTTGTGGTCAAACAGCTTTCTAAATAAATGGTAGATTAAAAAAAAAAACTGTGTTTATTCAATAGTGCTTCAATTTAAGTTTATTTGAATAAATGATTTCTATTATATTCTATTCTAATATAGACTAATATTCTTCTTTGTTCCAGGTGAGACTCCGGCAGCCATGCAACATGGGAATAACTCGTCCGCGACCATCCAACAAATACATTCTCTAATACATTTGTTTACCATAATGGTTTCACTAGCAGTAATTTTAACTCAGAACTACCAAGAGTTTGGATAACGTTCCCTTTATAGTTAACTGTTTACTGTGGATAATAATCACTCAGATACAAAAGGCAGTTTTAACTAGAGACAGGTAAGTCTAACTACGGGGTTGTAGCTAACAGTCTAATTTAGTTTCTTTTGTTTTCTTTGAGTAAATTAACAAGTTTGGCATGGCTTCTATTAAAATACTAGTTAACTATTCAACCGTTGTTTTGTCATATACATTATTTCTTAATAGCCCACCCTTAACACCTAAAAAATAACAACCTATTCTCAGAAAAAAAAATATTCCTGAAATACTTAATATATATACGAATTAGTTTAATGATTGTTTACTGTTTACTAACTTCGTATTAATTTTATATTAAAAAATTACTATTTTATTAAAAAAATGTTACTAGTATTGTTTTTCAAACAAAACAACAGTATACAGCGATTCATATAATATTAATGTGTATTTAACTTGTATTACTTTGGTCGGTAAAATAATATTTTTAATCCTAACGTAAATACTTAGTTATTCTCTTTTAATGTAAGTGAACATTTAATATCAATATTTATTTAATACTTCATTAATTCAAATACTATAAACAGTACATGTTATGTTGTCGTTGAACAAAAAATTAAAAACTCTAATAGATGGACAACTCCGAAGAGACAAATTTTTATGTCTTTTTTAACACTTTCTTATTTTAGCTATTTTTATTTTGTATATATTTATCGTATATCTTAACTATATCTTAATTGTATATGATTTAATTTTTTTATGTAACCTAAATTTGCTATTATATTATTATAGCTAATTTAGGTTATATTAGGATACATTTAGTATAGATATGTTGCTGATTTTTAGAATAGAAAAAGAGGGTTTTCTTAATGTGTGTTAGTATGGATTTATATTTATCTGTTCCCGCCTATTTATTGAATGTTTTCTTAATATATATATATATTACTAATTAAAATTGTAGCAATAACGTATTCGATATTTTAATTTGATTGAGTCTTCACAAGTCGCCTAAACATCTAGTAGAATGTACATAAAATTATATAATTACTTTAATTTTGTGAATTATTGTAAAGTATTATTGTTGAGTATTAAAGAGTATTTATGTATAATTATACATAAAATATTGTATAAAACCTGCCTTTAGTTAAGAACTGCTCAATATTTTTTTCAACTGTTGAAATTTGTCACAGTTGAAAGAAAAAGAAAAAAATACATAAGAAGTATACCAATTGAGTACAATAATAATAAATGTAAATAAAATGTGTAATATAATACATAAGTCATGTATAAGTAATGTAATTATCTGTCATATGAATTAGTCCAGTTAATTCGTCATTATACCCAGTAATATCAAAAAATATGTTAAGAGGACATCTCAGCGCCATGCAGTCTAATGCGGTGGAATGCGATTAGATGCGGTGAGATGCGATTATTTAAATAATTTTGGAAGCGTTACTGAAATATCGCACCGCATCGCACCATACCGGAAACATTGAGATAAACCTCTGTAGTAACTTCAATGTTATATTTTGCCTACAAAGTCCTCGTTTAGTTTAAAGTAGTTGGACAATTTCATTAAAACCTCATTTATGTGCAAAGAATGTAATTTGTCGTTGTCTTCATATTTTTAAAATTGTCTTATATAAGTTTAAAATACTAAGCTGCAAGTTGATGCTAAAAAATAATTTATTTCAAAAGCTACAAAATGTTTTACATCTATTGAAATAAATTATTTTTGTATTATTTTACACATTGTAAAATTGAAAAATGTTCGTTCATATTTGTATCGTAATCCCAGATATTTTAATAGTATATGACTTGCAAATACTAAGCACCAGAAATGTTATTGTAGAGATGCTCCTAGTTTCGTGAGGATTATCAAGAATTACCAAATATTGTCTAAATATTTAAGTTTATATACAAGATATAAATAGAAATTTATTTCGTCATATAAAGTAAATGTAAAATAAACCTAAGAGGGTCCTTCGCATGAAACGTTAGTACTATAATTCTATGTCACTAAAATGACATTTAAAATGTTTTAAAAAAAATAGTTTTTGAACTTAAATAAAACATATAACAGAATAAAATATATGACTTTTGAATATAATTGCAAAAATTATATAATAATCTTTTAATTAATATTTTAATATTATATTACAAATCAAATACAGTTTTTATGTATTTCAGAAACTTATATTATATTATGGAGTTATTATATCATATTATGGAAGAGGCCCTCTTAATTGTGAGTTAAAACCATTCTAAAATTGAATTATTTATTTGTAATTTCTAAACTATTCTGTACTCACAAATGTAATATTGTTGCTTATTATTCAAAATGTATATTTATCATTTTTGTCGACGTGTTTTCTGGACTATTATGAATAAATAACAATTTTGAATTGAACGTGCCAAGTTCGTTTTTTTATTTATTATTCCCATCAATGGTTAGCTGTATAAATTTTATAATTTTCTATAAGCTTTTTTTATGTAATTAGACAGGTATACAAGTTGGCAGTTGAATGGTAAGTGCTAAACATCGCCTATATATATAAACTAATAATAAAAAACCCTGCACAATTAACACAGCGCCCTCTAGTCCCACGGTAAGAATAGCTTGTGTAATTATGTATTATAAAGTCTCATTAAAAAATTACATGTAGTTAATGCACAGACGCTTTTTAACAAGTATAATACTTAGATGATCGTTATCAGTACGGTATATAATTGTATTGAACTTACAAGGATTGTTTAAAAGAGCAACACACAAGTTTCTTGTTTATTCTTCTTGTGATGAGACAGCTTTCCGAATAAGCGGTAGATTTAAAAAAAAAATGTCTGTTCAAAAGTGTTTATATTAAGTTTATTTGAATAAATTATTTTCTATTCTATTCTATTAAGACTAAAAAATAAGTATTCCTTTATAGTATTATACTCTGTAAATAAATACATTCTTAGAAAATACAATGTTGATACCCAGTAAGACTGCACTGCAGATGTTCCTAGTAGCTGTAAGTGCTTTACTTATAATGCCATTGTTGAGCTATTAAATACTCGGAAAATATATAACCAATCTAAAATACAGGAAACTCAGTTTTTTTTATTTATATACAATACTTTATTGCACCAAAATAGAATGGACATGAAAAAGTTAAAACGTTAAAAATAAAATTGAGTGGAAAAGGCCGTCTTATCGCCAAAGCAATTACTTACATAGAACTTTTGGAAAGAGATGATTTGTAGAAAAAAATTAAAAATAAATGAAGAAAGAAACTTAAATAAAATTGAAACGTTAAATAACATTAAAACTAAATAAAAAGAATTGTTTTTAAAATTGAAAAGGCATGTCTATATTTCGCTTACATACCCATAGTTCATATATTTATAGTTCTTCAATTTCGGTACCTATTTTATTAAAATTTCATAAAATTATTTATAATCTATACATGTAAATAAGATTGGAGTTTCTGTTTGTAATACTGAAATAACCAGTTTTTACTACATGTATATGAATATAAATACGGTACATGCACCAAAATAACATTTTTTACAATTTTTGTCTGTCTGTCTGTTTGTGCCGGCTAATCTCTGAAATGGCTGGACCGATATTGACGGGACTTTTGGCATGTGGCTGATGTAATAAGGAGTAACTTAGGATACTTTTATTTTCGAAAAATTCTCTAATTAACTTTTTTGTTAAATTCTACGTGAACGAAGTCGCGGGTACAGTTAGTTAAATATAATAAACAAAAGATGCCAGCTCTTTGCTACACAATGCTATTCAGCACTAATACGGCGATGAATATAGTAGAATAAAATAAATAAATTACTAACCGATCCTTACCGATATATTTCATACACATATTTGACACAGCAATAGAAAAACAGTAAATATATATGTAAAAAATTGAAAATAAAAAACATGGTTCAAAATAAGAAAGGGATATAAAAAGGAGGTATGTCGCCAACAGGCACAGACTACTAAAAACAGAAAACAAATGCTCATCACACAGAGTAAATTTACAATCTTAGAGGCAGCCTGAGCGTACGTGGAAATCTGAGTACCTGGGTTTGTCAGGTGCTATATATTATTGATATTTCCATCACCGAAGATTCAGTTAATATAAACTGATAAATAAAGGTTTTTTGGTAAATTCAAGAACTCTGAGATTTATATATTTGGGTGAGTAAAGACTCCACAGAGTTCTCAGTAAAACGCTTAAAACATTATATTAGGTTAATTTAGAAAGTAATTGTAAACATCGTTTTAGAAATATAAATTCAAAATAGAGTTTAAAATTAGAATTTCGACACGTTTTGTATATTTACCTAATCTAAAATGTTATTGCTTAATAATATTATTTAAACTTTAATCAATTGATTTGTTTATAGATGTTTTATACTCGACAGTTCCAAAACCGATGTATACGTAGAGGCTAAAGTATGTAATCCTTTTGAAATTTTGTAGCTTTTAGAATTAAATTACACAAACACATACACAAGTAAGTCGTATGCTGGATTGTGACGATCGATATTATAACCTCAATTCATTTTATACCAAGTATTTTACTAATATGTGAATATAAAAAAATACGGATAATTTAATTTATAACGTCGAAAAATAATTTATTACAAAACACCATCGCCCACAAAACAAGTTTACGAGCATCAGAGTAAAATGCTGAAACTTTACAGCTAAATGTTGGCCAGCCATGGGTTTATTTTTATTACAAACCCATAAAAAGACAGTTTAACTTTGACTTGGTTTTCATTTAATGTAAGTACCATTTGGTGTCGTAAATTGGTGCTTTGTGGGGAAAGGATTGACCCGTTTGAACAGATTAACGTCTTTATATATATACACTCATTCAGTTTTAAGTGTGTCGCTTTTATTATATCCGGTCTTAGTATAGATTACTATAGATATACAGATTCAGGGGTAACAAAATTAGTAATAGGTCCCATTACTAATAATGTACGATACTAAATCAAATCAATTCAAAATATCTTTATTAATCTAGGATTACAGACTCTTATGATATATCATAAACTACCGTCAGTTAGGATAGCATTCGACCTAAGAAGAACTTACAAGAAACTCAGCTCTTATTTTTTTCAAATGTGCCTGTTTCCAAATATACAGTTTCATTTTTTAATTCAAAGTTAGACAGAATATAATGTATAGGGATCACCGATATCTGCTATTACAATGTCAAAAGGAAATTTGTAAAAAAAATAC